CTTAGACTTACTCCTTTAATACTTTGATTCTTGATCTTCAGCTACCTCCTGAAATGGGTGAAAGTCAGCCAGTTCATTTTGGGACAGTGACTGTGCATTCCTTCCATTTTCTTTGGATGCTTCCTGCATCATTCAATATTTGGACCATGGGATCTTTCAATATTATAAATCTAGGTTGGAATTTTTCCTTCAATTCTTTCATCTTGAGATATGCTGTTCTTCCATTTTTGGTTTTCTAACTCTAGGTCTTTGCACATTTCATTATAACACTCTACTTTGTCTTCTCAAGCCACATTTTGAAATTTTCTCATCAACTCTTTTACGTCATTATTTCTTCCATTTGCTTTAGCTATACTCTACATTCAAGAGCAAGTTGCAGAGTTTCTTCTGATATCTACTTTGGCCTTTTCTTTCTTTACTTCCTTTTCTTTCTTTCTTTTTAAAAAAAATCATTTTATTGGGAGCTCTTACAACTCATAATAATCCATAATCCATTGTATCATGCACATATGTACATATGTTGCCATCATCATTTTTTTCTTTTTTAAAAATTTTATTGGGGGCTCGTACAACTCTTATCACACTCCATACATACATACATTGTGTCAAGCACATTTGCACATTTGTTGCCATCATCATTTTTAAAACATTTTCTTTCTACTTCCCTTCTTTACTGTCTTTTCTATGACCACTTGCTTTCTTCATGTATTATGTTCTTGATATCATCCCACAACTCATCTGGACTTTGGTCCTTAGTATCCAATGAGTCAATCTGTTCTTAAGATACTCTTTAAATTCTGATAAGATATAATCAGCGCTGTATTTTTTCTCTTGTGGACTTGCTTTCAGTTTCTTCAGCTTCAACCTGAACTTGCATGTGAACCATTGATGGTCTATTCTACAATCAGCTCCATCGTTAATTTTACTGGTATAGTCACTTTGATTCTGTGTATTCCATCTGGCTAAATTCATGCATGTAGTTACCATTTCTGTTGTCAAAAAAGGGTATTTGCAGAATTCTATCATACCATCTCCAGTGCCATTTATATCACCAAGATCATATTTCCAACTACCAATCCTTCTTCATTTCCAACTTTTGCATTCCAATTGCCAATAATTATCAATGCCTCTGATGTCATGTTTGATCAATTTCCGACTGAAGAAGTTGGTAATTTTTTTCAGTTTCTTCATCACTAGCTTTAGTGCTCAGTGTGTAGATTTGAGTAACAGCTGAAGTAACTGATGTTCTCTGTAGGCATATAGATATTATCCCATCACAGATAGCTTGGTTCTTCAAGATACGTCTTGAAAATGTTCTTTTGATGATGAGTGTGATGCCCTTCCTCTTCAATTTGTTATTTCTGGAATGGTAGACCATATGTAGCCAGATTCAAAATGGCCAGTGACAGGCCAGTGGTAGGCTACCTCAGCTCACTAATGCCTAGGAAGGAAAATCTTTATGTACTCCATTTCATATTTTATGATTTCCAATTTTACCAAATTCGTACTTCATAGATTTCGCATTCTGATTAGTAATGGACATTTTCAGCTGTTTCTTCTCATTTTGAGTCATGCTCAGTCGGCAAATGAAGATCCCCAACGCTTTCCTCCATAGATGTCGTTATGATCCACTCGACTTTGAGGAGGCAATACGTCATCTGAGTGCCTTCTAAGTTGAGGGGCTCAACTTCTGTGCTGTATCTGACCGTGTCTCACTGCTCATCTCTTAGACATAGCCAGCCTATTTTTACTTTGCAGGGTTTTTGTTTGTTTTTAGTCTAGAAGCTCTATTGAAACCTGTCCACGATGGGTGGCCCTATTGGTATTTGAACTATTGATTGCGTAACTTCCAGCATCACAGCAACATGAAAGCCACAACACTCAGACAAACTGACAGATAACTGACAGTGTTGTATTTCCTTCTGGGCATACAGTTATTATCACATCATAGGCATCATTGTACTTCAAGACAGATCTTGACATGTTCTCTTTGAGGATGATCCACCATTGTGTGACAAACAGAGTAGTGGGTCATTAGAAAGATGCAAATAAAAACGACAACTCAATGCCACTTCACTCACAATAGAATGGCTATGATTAAATAAATCCACAACAACAACAAAAATCAGAAAATACCATGCTGAAAAAGATGTGGGGAAATTGGGACCCTCATCCACTGCTGGTGGGCTGGTTTTGCCCCTGTGGAAAACAGTTTGGCAGCTCCTCAAAAATTTAAACATAATTGCTCACTTCAGCAGCACATATACTAAAAATTTTAAACATAAAATTCACATATAACCCATTAATTCCCCCCAAAAGAACTGAAAGCGGGAACACAAACAGATACGTGTACACAATGTCCATTGTAGCACTACTTATAATAGCCAAAAGGTGGAAATAGCCTAAAAGTCCATCCAAATATGAGTGGATAAACAAATTGCGAGAATCCATATAATGGAATATTGCTCTGCCATAAGAAAAATTAAGTCCATATACATGCTACAACATGGATGAATCTTGAAAAAAAATCCTAGCCACAAATACTTTAGGATCCTATTTATAGGAAATGTGCAAATGTAAGGTTTATTAGTATTTATCAGAGTTGGAAAGGAGGAAATGCTGAAGGGGTATTCAGCTTCTGTTAAGGGTGATGAAAAAACTGGACATGGATAATGAGGTGATTATACAGTCTGATGAAAACAGTCAATGTCACTGAGTTATACATGTAGAAAATATTGAATTGGCAAATGTTTGCTATATAGAAGGAACCCTAGTGGTGCAGCAGTTAAGCACTTGACTGTTAACTGAAAGGTAGACACCAACTGTCTCATGAAAGGAAGATGTCGCAGTCTGCTTCCCTAACAGTTCACCATCTTGGAAATTCTACGGAGCAATTCTGTTCTGTCCTACAGGGTCGCTCTGAGTCAGAATCAACATGACCTGGGTTTGGTTTGGTTCAATTACATGACCCCATATAATTCTCACAAGTATTATTATTATTTCTGCTTTTTTACTACAAAGACATAAACGGTAATGCTGGGGTTTGAACTCAGGTCAGCCTGGCTGCAAGAGTGGCAGACAGCGGGCGGTTGAAGGAAGACTTAAAGAACAGGCAGGAACTGATGGGACATCAGGCGCTGACTCACCTACGACCTTTGTTCCCCAGAAACTGAGACTCTTCTCTCCCAGCCCAGGTAAGAGCGAGCCAGTGAACGGATGACACAGGTCAGAGAGGGCACTGCTGCGCACAGTCATCTGACAAATGTTCAAAAGGGCGAGAGAGCAGAGGAGGCTGCAGAGGGCACATTGCTTTCTGAGCCTCGGTTTTCCCCTGCTGAAGTGGGTGATGTCACAAACCATCCAGATGGTAAGGACCCACAGCGACCCTGCGCACAACAGAACGAAGCACTGCCCGGTCCCGTGCCATCCTCACAATCACAATTGTCCCTGTGCTTGCGTCCATTGTTGCAGCCACTCAGTCAATCCCTCTCCCTGAGGACCTTCCTCTTTGTCATGCCCCTCCACTTTGCCAAGCATGATGTCTTTCTCCAGGGACTGGTCTCTCCTGACAACATATCCAAAGTATGTAAGACGATAATATTGAATGTACCATGGACTGCTACAAGGACAAACAAATTTGTTCTGGAAGAAGTAGAGTCAAAATGCTCCTTTGAGGCAAATGAGGCAACTTTCATAAATAGCCCTGTGGAATTAACCTTGTTCCAATAACGAGATCTTTGTCCTTGGTTCCCAAGGAATAATTCATAAAACCTTGGATTTTCCCCAGAAGAAAGGTCTGGCAATCCACTTCTGAAAACCCTGTGGAGCACAGTTCTCAAGCAAGGGTCGCTGTCATGACTCAGGGTCAATAGCTACAGGCCTGATAGCAGAAACTCCATTCAAACAGAAACATCCAAAGGCGTTTTAGGGACAGACGGTTCTGATTCTTTGTTTTGGCTTTATTGGCACGTAGGGTTCCCCACTGGCAGTATCAGGCCTGTATCCTACTTAGTGGTCCCAAGGGAAATCACAAGTAGAGTTTATTTTCCAGGAAAAAATAAAATCCTAGGATTGAGGCTCACTTGGGTCATCAGTTCTTTCCTACAATGGCCACTGTAGCTGGGGACATGGTGTAGATTCTAGTCTAATCATATGTCTACTGCTGGAAAGAGGCAGGAGGCAGCTTTGCACAACTTGCTAAGAAACAATGCACTGTAATCAAATGTACAGGGACTGCTTTCTGAGCAAGCACAATTATGGGTGTCCAATAAAAAGATGGCAAAAATAAACAAGCAAATAAAATGGAGTAAAACCCTGGACTTTCACCAATGAGTCGAGTGTCTCTGGTGAAGACACCAGACCACACCTCAGGGTTCATGAGCATGTTGGCTGGGGGCCCACTATGTGAGCAATAGATCAGGCTTCTGATATTGACTAACCTCAGGGACAGGGGCTGGAGTTTACATTATGAAATGAGACCTCCAATAAAAGCGATGGACCCTGATGCTCCATTGGCTTCCTGGTTAGTGATAGACATCAGGAGCAGGACCCTTTGGGGACCATTTGCCATAATGAGCACAGCATGTTCCATGAGTCCTGTGAGTCTTTCCAGTGAATCATCAAACCCAAGGGAGAAGTAGGAGTCAGCAGATCAGACAGGAGAGGGAACCCTGTGACCCCTGAGCTCACAGCTCAGGGGTGACTGAGAAAACACCAAGCTTGCAGCCAGCATAAGTTCAGGTGTAATGAAGTCTTAGGGACTCCATGCTTGAAATTGGCATCTGAAGTGTTGGGAAGACTTGGCAGTCTAGAGGGTTGTGCCCTATAACTTGTGACGTCTAACGTGTATGTATAGCTGGTGTCCGAGTATAATTAGAACAGAAGGGTGGGTGGGTATAGAATTAGTAATAAATTGATTTGGATTGAACACATTTGGAATCAGAGAAGTGGGAGTTCATTTTTCCCAGTAAAGCTCAAGAAGAAATCAATGCAACTCTTACCAGCCTGAAAACTGCCATCCTTAGTCCGCAGCTCCAAACAGCCTGTATCAGAGAGAAGACCAGACATCAGAATCCTTTTGTTCCCTTGGCTCAGAATACAATAAACAAGCCCTCAAGTGTTCGGCATGCGGTCTGACTCAGGAAAAGGACTTCTAGAGTAAATGCATGAAGGCGCCAGGAGGTACAGGCCTACTTCAAATGTAAGAAATGGTTTTGCTCCTCCATGATGGTATCAATGATAAGTTGATAAGTCGATGATGTGAACAATACATTCCCAAACTTATTTGGCCTATGGATCCCCTTTTCAGGAAAAAAAAAATTACTCAGCCCCACCCTCCCCCCTTGGCAATTAAAAACGTTTGTACTATAGCCCAATCCAGGATAAAGTATAGGTACCTGCTTTTGCAACCTCCCCACCCCTATCATTCTACAGGACCTCTAGTGGTCTAGTGGTTAGGTGTTGAGCTGCTAACTGAAAGGTCAGCAGTTCAAAACCACCAGCTATTTCTTCCATGAGAGCAAGATGAAGTTCTCTACTTCCATAAAGGACTACAGTCTCAGACCCAGAGAAGCAATTCAACCCTTCCTATAGAGTCTCTGTGAGTCAGAAACGGATTCAACGGCAGTGTTTGGATTGTTCCAGTGCCGTCCAGAGGGCAGTATTGGCCACTTTGGAAAACTCTGGTAAGCAAACTACATTCTGAACCATTCCCACAAGTACAACCAGAAATAAGACGCTGAAACGGGACTCAACTCTGAGGGACTCTGAATTGGAGAGCAGAGGAAATAGCAGGACATCTCAAACAAGAACCAACTAACTAACAAGCTGCGTACACTAGAAAAATTGCTTCTTCTACCATCTTTGTCCCTCCCTGAGTCATGCAGGCCACCAGTTGGCCCTAGAAAAACAAGCTGCTTCTCTAATCACCAAAGCCCCTACTTATATGAAGAGATAGAACTTCAAGATTCTGTCCGAAATCAACAAGGCTGACCTCCTGGAAGTGGTGGTGGGTGCCCTTTGGTAGTGTACCATCACTGCCCCCCCAGACTCTGTCCATTGCGAGTCGACTGTGAATTGCTACAGAAGGCCCATGCAGTGGAGCCTGCTCCCGCAGTAACGCTCTGCTGGCCTCGCTACACATCCCATCGCTCAGGCCCTGCAACCACCAGGACTGACCAACTGAGGGATCAGCTCAGGTCCACTTGTTCCCCGCTTCCAAGGTGGAACTGAAGACTGCTGACTGGGGCAGTTGTGTGCTATAAAGCAGGTGTCTTGAGTAGCGACTACACCCACAGTTACCACACTGTAGCAAGGCCTCTGACAGCAAGCAGCAAAGCAGACCTCCTCAGAGATCCATTTGGAGCATGACAGCCTCTCTCCCACTCAGACACTGTCACTCAGAACCCTGCTATGACTTCTTGGGAGCCCTGGTAGCACTGTCCAGTAAGTGTTGGACTTCTAACCACAAACACACCAATCACTCCACAGGGAAAGAGAAGACTGCTGTGCCTGGAAAGAATCAGAGTCTAGGAAACCCTGGGCACGGTTGCAATGAGCTGGAGTCAACCCAGTGGCAGTGGGTTTGGATGTCTTATTTCTTCCCGTGTGTGTGTGTATTACTACAAGAGCCTTGCAGTAGAATTTAATTCTTTTGTTTTTCTTTTCTGTTTCGTTGGTTTATTTTTCTGCCTTTTGTTTGTTTGTGTTGTTGTTGTCATAATAAGACCACCAAAGTAAACCAGAGGCATTCATAAGCCATGGCCAATAGATGAATTCTGGACTGCCACTTAATTATAGCACCAATATAGAAGAACAGTTAGTTCTTATAACATGGTGCAGCTCAATACTCACCTTCATGAAGAGGTCACTAAAGATAAGGGTGCTGCAGCAAAGTATGGTGAAGAAAGCAGATGGTGCCCAGCTATCATTTGGAATAGTGTCTGGGGTCTTAGAGGCTTGTATTCAAACAAGTTGTCATCTAAGCGGGAGTCAACTAAGTCTACATCAAAGAAGTACACTAACCTGTGTAATCCAAAGATGATGATAACAAAATCCAAATAGTATGAACGGAAAAGTATCACAGCTTAAAAATTGAACACCCAATCAGTAGAAGGCTATTGTGGCAGTCACATAATCTCCTGTCAACTTGTGAAGGGGTGGAGTCTAGCCTGTCAATCAGGTCATAGCCAATAATGCCTCTGTGTGAGCATGGCTTTCTCCTGAGGATTCTGGGAACTCCTGTCTTCCTCTCTGGAGGCGGGACACACTCTGCTTTGTCTTCCTGCTGACAAGCCACATGGAGCTATGCTGATGGAGCCAGAGCCCTAGAGCTGGAGTTGCCACGTGGAGACCCCTGCCAGAGCTGAGATGCTTCCACCACCATTGGATCCACAAGACTTTCCACCCACTGGACTGTGGTCTTCCTGAATTCAGCATCATTGCATGTGTTGCGTGAGTCTGAAGAGGAATGTATGACTGATATTGGACATATGGGCTAATATCAGACTTAAGGACTTGATATGGACTGGACTGGGATGTTTTCTCAATCTACAATTGCTCTTTTATATAAAGCTCTTTCTTTCTTTTTTTTTTTTTAAACATTTTATTAGGGGCTCATACAACTGTTATCCCAATCCATACACACATCAATTGTGTAAAGCGCATTTGTACATCGTTTCTCAAAACATTTTCTCTCCATTTAAACCCCCGACATTAGGTCCTCATTTTTCCCCTCCCTCTCCGCTCCCCCCTCCCGCATGAGCCCTTGATAGTTTATAAATGGGTATTTTGTCATATCTTGCCCTGTCCGACGTCTCCCTTCATCCACTTTTCGGTTGTCTGTCCCCCAGGGAGGAGGTCACACACAGTTCCATGTAATCGGTTCCCTCTTTCCTACCCATTCTCCCTTTACCCTCCCTGTTTTGCCACTCACACCACTGGTCCTACAGGGCTCATCCGCCCTGGATTCCCTGGATTTTCAGTTCCTATCTGTACCAGTGTACCTCCTCTGGTCTAGCCAGTCTTGCAAGATAGAATTCGAGTCATGGTAGTGGGAGCGGGGAGGAAGCATTTAGGAACTAGAGGAAAGTTGTATTTCTCATCGTTGTTACATTGCACCCTGACTAGCTCATCTCCTCCCCGAGACCCCTCTGCAAGGGGATCTCCAGTGGCCTACTAATGGGATAAAGCTCTTTCTTATCCACATGCATGTCTATGAATTTGTTTCTCTAGTCAACCCAGACTCACACAGCTATGAAGGACGGTGGGAGCCCAAAGTCCCTCTGCAGACTATCTAGTCAGATTAAGCCTTGTGCAGGTCCCCTCAAGCCATAGGCAAGAGACTCAGATACCTTGACTGTCAGACAGAGATTATTGTAAACTTGATTATGGTGGACTGAACCATGGTATAATATGATCCTTGGTCCGTTGACCTTTCTCTTGACCCAACCTGAATTTGCTCTATTATTTTATTCTTTCTACTTCATTTTGCTTTGTTTTTAATGTTTCTGTTGGGTTTCCCAGTTTGTGAAGCACAGAAAGTGTGGATGTAGAAGGAGTATAGACAATAACTACATGCAATGGTTTAGCTATCCGGGATGTGGGCAGGGTGCACTGTCCAAACCCTGCAGCATTCTCCTTTAGCTTCTTTCTGTGACCTAGAGAAACCTGGATAATGGTGTTCCATTTTGAAACATTCTTTTCTACTCAGAATAGCCAAAACAAAAGTAAAATCAACCATCTGCCACTTGGAACACCTGCTGCTCATAAGGAACAAATTCTGCCTTATTCAGAGTTGGTGCCAGTATCTTTAGGACCTATCAAGGATTTACATCCTATTTTCCTTAGCAATGATGCCCTGTTAATTTATTGGAGAGAGACTTATCTAAGTGGTGTTACCACATTCAGTTTGGTGACAGTGGAGAAATTCTATCGAACTTTCCTTCTTCAGATGACTCTCTTGCTGAAGGAAAGGTGGAAGACGCGTTATGATTTGTCCAAGGATTGATGGAAGTAGAGGAAACTACAGTTAAAAGCAAGTAAGGCAGCCACTGGTCTGAAGACAACGGGTGACAGGCTTCCAGGGAAAAGGCACTTCAATCCCCACTGCCCCTTGCAGTCAGGGGAATGTTGGGGTTCCCACAACCTGTTATGTTTCAACTATCTTTCCTCTTGACGTGACTCCAAAGGCTGGGAGGTGGTAGAAGCCAGTAGGTCCAGGGATCCCTGATCTTACTAGATGGATCTCCTGGCTCTGAGAGAAACTCCATCTCAGTCCCACCTGAATGAGAGTCCTGAGGTTTAGCTGTACAGTTTCTACTTTCTAAACCAAATCCCTTAACCCTTTTCTTTTTTCACCATACCTGGAGTGCTTTCCTTGTTGAATCCCACATAGCTTTACTTTACAGGGTGTTGGGCAAGCTCCTATTGAATGTTTTCCCCTAGTGCCCTAAAAATTTTTGGTCCTGAAAGTTTCCCCCAAATCAGATGGGCTGGGCTGATCCCCCAGTTTCCATGTCTTTGCCATGATGACAAAGAAAGGAAGGAAAGAGTTCAGGAAGCTAGAACTCTTTCACACAAGAAATGAAGCATTGGGTAGTCGTCTTTATCTCCCTCTCCTCTCCTTCTTTACAGCCTTCTTAATATATCCTTGGGGACTCAAGCAGTTTATCTCCTCTATGAGGGATGGGACCCCTGGTCTGGCGGCCCGGATCAAGTCTGTGACAGACATCTAGGAGGAGACTTTAGAGAACTCGACTGTGCCATTCACAGCACGTGGGGAAGCAGGCAAAGACTAAGGGGCCTTTGCTCTTGACAGCCCTTCAGTCCCCTAGTACTCTCATGGCAGGATCTCTCCTTCCAGACCCTGTTGTTAACCTTTTTACTAAATGCCCAGTGGCAGCTCTAGGAATATTTCTATTGGACAAATGCTTCCTGAGCCAGCCGGCATCCTTGCTGCCTCAGCGATGTCCTCTCCCTACCTGTTGTGAATGTTCCACAGGGGGAAATATTCCATGCCAGTATGGCATGACAAATCCAGTAG